TGTTGGCTAACTCTTAAGCAACCCTATGAGATGCGTGCTGTCAGTACCCAATATAAAACTTAATTTTTGTGCTTTCAGAAGTCTTGCATTTGTAATAAAACAACTTAATTAAAATTTTAAAATTCTGTGCTCAATCAATGAAAAATTTTTACAATTCAATTTTAATTTCCAACGAGCATGAACATAATTTTTACGCCGAGTTGCTGCCGTCTTCGTGATTTAAAAATTCTTCTCAACCGTTTTCAGTTCCAGAAAATCGAATTGCTTTCCCATGCAAGCATGACACATTATAAACATTAGAAAATAACTAACAACAATAAAAATAAATGAAAACTTCACCAAACAAAATTGAAAGAAAATCGAAATGTGGATTGTTGCATGTTGCATTCTAATTGCAACGCCACATTTGTAGCGATCCGATATGCTTTGTCTTGCATTGCACGAGTTTTGGTGTATTGAACTTTGGCTACGATTCAAAGAACAAAAATCTTCTTAATAGGTTTTCGGTACGGTTTATTCATTGCTCTTTCCAACAATGTTTACTACTTTTGTCTAATCATTCTTCAATACGCAGACCAAGTTATCGAATTGGATTAAATGAACCAAAGTCTACATCTTTAAGGGCGTGCTTAGAAAATACTTAATTTCATTGAGGCGACACTTTTTTGTAGTTCAATAGAACTAATATACTAAAAAGAGTGCTTGGAATTAGTATACGTTTAATTAGTTTTATTGAACTCTTACTGTGCTAATAAGATTCTATCCACCTTAATGCTTTTTAACATAGCTTTATAACATACTTCAGGAATTTAATAATATTAATGATATTATTGGTTTATAGCTTCTTTCAAAAGTCTTAAATTAAAATGAGATAAGCGCATCATAATCATTTTCTATGAGTACATCAAAAATTAAAAATTTGTACATTACGCAATGAACAAGAATAAGAATTACGCTCCAGAAATTAAAGAATTTAGAAAAAGATACAGAAAAATTTAAAATAATAATGTTATTAGATGCAAGAAAGAAACATCAAATTTCCGTAGAAAAGTTGTAAATAAACATTTTTAATTTAATAAAAATGACACTCACAGTTAATGAAAATTGTGTGTTCTTAATCTCAAAGATATTTAACAAATTACAATTAGAATTTATACATTAATGCATCATTATGCAGATTATCTTACTTTTGTATTATAACATATTTAGCTAAAATATAAGTATCATGAAATTGTCACATAACGTCAAAAAAACCAAGTTTTGAAAAGCACGTATCACACGTATCACAGAAAAGCACCAAGTTTTTTTGTAACAGTATGTTTGGAAACCCTAAGCTGTAGTATACTTAATAAACTATAACCTGTTTTGTACTTACTGGAGTACCAACGGTAACGAGTTCCAACAACTGGATCATGCAGGAGTTGCCAAGATGAAGAGCAGGTAGAATATATCAACCACTTCCTGTGTCTCTATCCAGAGCTACCGACAAGGCAACTTCAATGTCTTGGGGATCGCTTGTTCACTGGCGTGGAAGAGATAACGAAAGCAAACTAATCGAATCTCCTCAACTTTATCCGGATGGTTTAACAAAGATAACAAAGGTTAGCAACTCACCTCTCCCGGCAAAATTTTTGAGGGCATGACAATGGGCAATATATGCCTCCAAGTGGCAGTGATGACAACTGTCACCACTTCCACCTAACCTAACCTAATAAATTATAATGAATATTTTATATTCTTATATATATGTGGTAGAAGGTAATTATGATTTTACTCTTAGAAACTGTTGGTGCATCAATAAATTAATAACGTTTAAAATTATTTATTTATATTTTTTGTAGAAATAGTGTGTATATAAAAATTATTCTATATAAAGTGCTTTGTAACGTGCTTATTTAACCCGTTTGTAGATCTTAAATATTATCTCAAAATAATTATAATGTGAGTATAATGTTTCGAGTTAAAAGTAGGTAAAAGTTCAAATTATAAAAAAACACACTTTTGAGATAATAATATTCAAAAAATTTATTAAGAAAATAAACGGATTCGCAATAAGCAGTAATAGAAATAAGTTAAAAATGTATATAATAATCCGGTCGTCATTAATAGTTTTGGTATGCAATTCCAGGTGCATTAAAGGTACAATATCTAGCTATTAGTCAAAATAATAACATGGAAGGTCTAGTCATCAGTCACATTTTTACATATTTTCGTTATGAATTTAGCAAAGTTATCTATGGGTGTACACTTAAGAACGAAGAACATATTCGTACATTTTTTGAAGAAGTGTTAAGAAAATTATTAAGGGATTTTGGAATTTCGTATTAATATACCGATTAAAAAGCGTATTTTAAACTGCGAATTGCCAATAATTTTCTTTGGTTTTATTTATTATGACAACCTCAGACTACAATCACACATTTTATAATATAACTTATTCCAAATTATTTTATTGTGTGTAATTCCTTATTATGTTTTCCTATAAAAACTTCCTTAATCAATTTTTATTGTCAAATTAACATTTTAGTTGAAAGAAATTTACGAGCGCGAATTTGACAAGTGAGTGAAACAATCAGAATCGATAGAAATACCATAAAAAGCTAAGTAAACAAATCAAACACGTAAACAGAGTTTATTGTTCTCCTTCTTGTTTCATAAATCCTAAAAAAATACCAAAAACAATATTAAAAATGGATTGGAAATTTTGTATAAATAAATAGACGGCAGCAAATCATCAACCTAATTAAGTTCTTCAGAAAGTGGCACGGATCAGCAATTAACGAGTTTATATTCTCTGCTTTGAATTGTAGGATTATGCTATAAAAAAATCCAATATAAAACGTATTTATTTGTTTATTAAGATGACGTATGTAGCCGTATTGACAATAATGTAAGCAAGTGTTTAGCTCGGGCGCGAAATAAATTTCAATTTCAGTTCCAGAAATCGCTCAGCGTAGTACTCACATTGGCATATAAAAAAATTATTATTATTTTCATATATTCTGTCAGTGAAGCTTTAATTAGTGGCTGAGTCGAGTTTGAATAGATTTTTTTACAAATAAAATATGGTCTGCATATTCTCATTACTGCGATGCTATCATAGAAACGGGCATCACATGTTTGCCATGGTATTTGGAGACGAAGAGTTTTGTTTTGCTGCGGATAGAGTGTCATTGCGCATTTTATATATCAATTAAAAATGTGTCGCTGAAGTGACAAAAACAGCTGAACTTCACATTGAAATCATGAAATGGTAATGCAATACTTTTGCCTTTAAACATTGCTTTAATTGCTGCTCTTCCATTGAAACTACCAATGTACTTCGCTGCAGAGGTTGTGCGCATGCGAACCATTAGAAGTTGCCTTCTTTTGTAATTCTTGCAACGGCACAATTCCTCATGTGAAACTTTTTGCTTAAAAAGTTATAAGTAAATATGTTGCCATAAAATTTTCTTCAATTTGCACCCGAAAACTTGAAACAATTAAAATAATAAAATCATTCGAAAATAGTTGAAATTCATAACTTTTAGCTCTGATATTAGTTTGGAATTTAGTTCGGTATTTATAGTTATTAATTGTTTGAATTTTAAACTTGGCATGACAACTTTAAAGTTTTTAAATTAAGGAATTTGTCTTTCTCTTCTCTTCCGAATAACCAAACCTCGCTCGGATCATATTGCTTAATGAGTGCAACAAATCAAATTGTAACTTATTTACGAACACAATTTAAATGCCATTAAAAATGCATTTCAAAAGCTCATTAAATTAAGAATAAAAGAACAAAAAGTGCATAAAGTTAATGGACTTGAGTTGCTTACTTTCAATACTTTTTCGGTTCCTTAATGCAACTCTAGCCATAAAAATTCGTACGAACTACAAAAGTCGACAAACCAACAAAACTTCAGACAAAATTCGGAATGTAAAATATCAATAAAAATAATTCAAAGTGGCATAAAATTGAAAACGGTGAAATAAAGCAGAAACTTTTTAAAGTTTTCAACTTCATCCATTCATCCACACAATAAAAGCAATAGCGCATAAAATTATGTTGAAGCATTCTAAAAATGTATTCATTTTAATGGGTCCAAAAATTAAATCAAAAAAGTGTGGCACACAAACTTCCGCCTTAAAACATTTCCTTAACCGCCGAAAAAGTCAAAATATTTGAAAGCTGCGCGATAAATGCGTCCAATGGGCCGAGTGGGTGTTGCAGGCATTTCTATTTATACAATTACCGGCATAAGTAAGCGACTATCTGGTAATATGTGTGCTCTCACAGCATCAAGGTGAATAGCATTTTCGCAATTAACGGCTGAGTGGCTATAACCTGGCTATTGTCAAGCTACAAGGGCTCTATTAGGCATTATATTGCTGTATAAATAGCTGAAGTGCTTCATTGTGTTTACTGCAGTGTTTTGTGGTACAATTGTATATAGATTTCTGATTGCTATAATAACATATATATATATATAGGAGAATTTTAAATATTTGTTAAAATTACAAACACATCTCCTAAAATCAGATGGAAGTGGAGAATTTCACGTCATTTACGGATCTGTGTCCATTTTCAATATAAAACAGATTTTATATTTGATTTCCTTGCTGTTATTAATTAAAAATAAATTTTTAAACAGTTTCAGACCAAGTTAGTTCAACAAGTTTTTAAAAATTATAAAAACATTTTAATATAACAATTAATAAAATAATAGGTAACCTTATTAATTATGCATTGTAGAGTTGGTAGATTCCTTTTCCTATCTCGACAACGTTATGACTACAGATG